TAGTCCTGATTGCTCTGTTCCCACATTTCTGAGCAGCCCTCCAAGGCTGCAGGGATGGAGGAGTTAACTCCTACAGACAACAACAACAGTATAAAATAATCCACATTTTTTAGGCCAGATCTCCCCAGAGAACTTCCTCTGTAAATTTGCAAGTTGAATTCTCTCTTCCCTTTTTTATTTTTCTTTTTTTTCCTGTGTGCTCCAAAGCTGCTTGGCAAGGAATGATGTGTCACAAGCTGTAACAGATACAGCCAGTCCAGTATCTCAGGAATGCACTGTGTGCTAATTAGGCATCCTGGAGCCTTCAGAAAATGCTCCTGCTGTATTTGCAGATGGAATCTTCCCTGCCTCCCCCTCTTTGGGTAAGCTGGCTGGCAAACTCAGTTATTCAGCTCTAAGAAGTTTGGAGCCATTGGCAGAGGATGCATCTTTAAAGAGGAGGTTGAGAGCTTGTGTGGGTTTGTGTTTTCTGTTTTATTTCCCTCTCCCCTTCTGGTGCACGTTGCTGAATTTGAATAATTAATATACGTTGTCTTGCTTCCTGTTTTCTTTTCTGTATGTAATGCTAACCAGCAGAGGTTTGAATCATTCATAGCCTGCTTTTTTTCCACCTCAAAGCTGTCGATGTCATGGGAACAGGGATTGGAAGGTACAGCCTTTCTGCTTCTCTCCATTTAATCCATTTCTGGAAGCAGGAGAAGTGAGTGTTCAGTCCATGAGCTCAGCCAAGCAAGGATCTCTGGACAGATGGTATCAGTGTGGTTTCTCTTGGGCAGCATCTTGCTTGCTGTGCTTCAGTCTCTTCCTGCATCTCCTGGTGCTCCTCAGGTGTCTGTGTGTGTGGTGGGGAGGATGGGTGCTGTGTCCTGTGCTTGCCTTCCCCCTGTGGGCTTCTGGGCACCTGCTCAGGACCTGGATGGAGAAGAGGGAATGATTTGAGGCTTGTAGGTTGTGTCTCATGCAATTCAGCTGCATTTAGGAATGGCTTTTTCTTTTTGTTCTAAATTCATGTTGGGTTTCTTCTCTTTTTTTGCTTCTCCTGACTGCTTTTATGGAGAGAAGCCTGGATCTGTGGGCTTCCATAGCATCTGTCTGAGTTGGGATTCAGTGAGAGGGACCAGGATGGGAGCTTCACTTGGTGGCTTATGGAGCCTTTTCAGCTCTTATCATGGAATCACAGAATGGTTTGGCTTGGAAGGGATGTTGAAGATTATCCAGTCCCACCCCCTGCATGGGCAGGGACACCTCCCAGCAGCCCAGGCTGCTCCAAGCCCCATCCAACCTGCCCTTCAACACTGCCAGGGATGGGGCAGCCACAGCTTCCCTGGGCAACATGTTACAGTGTCATTTTCCCTCATGTTTTCCCTTGTTGGTCATTTTTATCCTCTTCATTGTTTTTGAGTGGATTCTGCTGTTCTTGAAACCTTCCAGCAGAGTCTTGTGGTGTTTGCATTGGTGGTCAGGTGTGCTTTTGGGTTGCCCTTTTGGACTGAAAACAGTTGTGTCCCTCCTGAGCTCTGCCAGGAGACTGGGAGATGCTGGGTTAGATGCTGCTGCAGGAGATGCTCTTCAGAACTGGACAGTAAGCTCAAAGCTGTTACATCTACCCTGGCTGTTGGTGTCCCTGGTGGGATTTTTCTTCAGGAAGGGTTGGTTGCTGGTCCTTCTCCATCTGTGAGGTGTGCCCATACCTTACTAAAGCAAGGCTGTTTGAGAAAGCTTTGGTACCTCCACCATCTCTGGTTGTGCACCAAAGTTCATGCCTTTAACAGATGATTTTGGATTTGCAGTCATGAGAGGGATGTTTGTGTCTTGAACAGGTTAAATGAGGGATCCTGGTGATAGCCCCGAAAGGAGAACTCTCCATGTACCTTCTAACCTGTGGAGCTAACCCAAACTTAACCAGCTGCCTCCTGTGGGTTGTGCTCTGAGGTTTCAGGGACTTGATGGCTTCAACCTTGTTCATGGAATGATGGATCCATCCAATGAGTTGATAGTAATTCCCAAGGGCAGGCTCTGCGCCCAGGATCCTGCCACTGCTTTTTGTGTGTGTGTGTGGCTGGTGTGCAGCAGCCCTTCTCCAGGTTCTGGGGCTGGGGAACAGCCTCCCCAAAGAGTGTAGGGAGGGATGAAACACTCACATGTGTTGCTTGTGTTTGAGTTTGTCATGCAGTTCTTCTCCCCTGGCCCATAAAATAAGTGGTCAGAGCTTTCACAGGGAGCGGTGCCCTGTCTGCCCTCTTGCCTTGTGTCATTAAAGCAGGAAGAGGTGGAAACTGGGGGAGATGTTGTCCTTTGCTGATGAATTCATGAGGAATTCCTTGTAACAACTGTAGGGGTGGTAACGTGGGCCTTGGCAGTGGAGCTGTCGATGGGATCTGCCTCATTTTTCATGCCCCACAACACCTTTTATGTCCCTTGCTGCTGGGGGTGCTCAGGGCAGAGGTGATGGCTTTTTCCAGCACCCTTAAATAGCATCCAACTCCACTTTTGCCCCAGTGTTCCTGTCCAAATTGATTGTTGCATCTACCCCTGAAGTTCTGCTGGTGTGTGTGTGGGGGGGAGGGCAGGTTGGGGAACTTTTCTAGGGATCATCTTGAAGCAGCCAAAAACCTGGAGGTGGGAGGGAGGGAGCCTGTGCAGTGACTGATGCTGAGCTTTCTAAACACCCTGAGAAGAGCTGGAGTTGCAGGCAGGGAGGTGACCTCAAGCAGGAGGTGGTCCAGCAGTGCTGGGGGGGCAGATGAGCTGGGAAAGCATGGGGTGCCAGGATCAGCAAAGAGCTCTTGTGCTTCAGGCTGGATGCAGTGCCCAGAGCATCACAGAGGTTTGATGAAAGGACAAAGCTACATGGTTTTTTGTCTGTCTGTAAAAGCCAAAGGAGCTGCAGGCTCTGGAGATGGTGTTGGGTGGGCTTTGAAACCACACCAAGCATCAAACAAGGTCTGTCTGCCCCCTGGGGATGCTGAGTCCAGAGAAGAGAAAGTCAGGACAGGGCTGTCCAGGCTGTCAGCATGAGGCACAGGTTGTAAACAGACACAAAGAAGGACAGGAGCTGGGAGGGTTGAGCAGACTGCATCCTCCCTGACATTTCTAGACTCTGCAGTGGACTCTGTTTCCAGACTCAGTGTTTCCAGTGCCTGCAGCATCTCCTTATCTATTGGCTAGAATGAAAAACAGGGTCAGCTCCATTCTTGGAGGCTTCTTTCCATGGGATGTGGCAATGAAAGGTGGCTGGGTTACCTCCCTAAGCCCTGTCATGCTTTGCTGATGCCAGTGAGGATATTGCTTCCCATGGCTCTCATGGGTTTTGCTCGACCTGGGCACAGGGGATGCTGTGTGTAAGGAAACCAAGGGTTTGCCCTGGAGAAGGTACAATTTTCTTACCGCCCACAGGAATTCAGAGGAGGCCATAAGGATGATCTGAGGGCTGGAGCAGCTCTGCTCTGGAGCCAGGCTGGGAGAGTTGGGGTGTTCAGCCTGGAGAAGAGAAGGCTCCAGGGAGAGCTGAGAGCAGCTTCCAGTGCCTGAAGGGGCTCCAGGAAAGCTGGGGAGGGGCTTGGGACAAGGGCAGGGAGGGATGGGAGCAGGGGGAAGGGTTTCCAGCTGGCAGAGGGAGCTGGAGCTGAGATGGGAGGGAGAAATTCTGGGCTGTGAGGGTGGGGAGAGCCTGGCCCAGGTTGCCCAGAGAAGCTGTGGCTGCCCCATCCCTGGGGGTGTTGAAGGGCAGGTTGGATGGGGCTTGGAGCAGCCTGGGCTGCTGGGAGGTGTCCCTGCCCATGCAAGGGTGGGACTGGATGATCTTGAAGGTCCCTTCCTGCCCAAACCAGCCTGTGGTTCTGTGCTGCCCTGCCTGCAACTGTGCACGCTGTGGAAAGGCAGCCAAGCACTTTGCAAGCTCAGCTGCTGTTGAGCACCACTCATTGTGCAACTGAGTAAGCACACCACGGTGATGTGTGGGGTGTGGGTGTGCACCAGGAACCTGTGGAAAACCCCTGGTGCAAGTTCAGTACAGCTGGGAGCAGCAGCATGACACCACCAGCCTAGCAAACATCTGCTTTCAGGTTCCCTTCCCCCAGCGCCGACTCCGTGAATTAGTAAGAGCTGAACAGATTCCTTGGTCTCTTCTGGACGTGACTCTCACCAGGGCCAAAAGCCAACATCTAAATATATATATATATATAGTTAATAAAAAAAGAAGCCCTGTGATGCACAAAGCATGTAATCCATGGAGCTGAGGACTTCCCCTCCAAGCAGGGATGTTCCCACGCGTGGCAAATAGAGCAGCTGCATCCGCCTCGCTCAGGTCCTTTGGGATTTAGTGCTGTTTGGTGGAGAGGGGCTGTTTCTCCTGGGTGAAGGCTGCAAACCAGCCCTGCCTCCCTCTGGGTGCCTGTTGGAGGTGTATATAAAGGGAGAAGGTAATATCTGCCTTTTCCAGCTTGCACAGAGGTGTTAGCTCCTGGGCTGGGGTTGTTTTGGCGACTCCATGGGATGCTTGAGAGAAACTGGTTCAGCTTGGCTGGGTTTCAACTTTGCAGAGGCCTCCGAATCAATTTGAAGGTTCTGCTTCTGCAGGGTATGGTTCTTTACGTTTCCATCATTCATAAAAACCTAATCATCTGGGCTGCAAACAATCTGCTCTTGTCCTGGTGTGGCTTTTCTTACCGATAACTCCTGTGAATCCGTTTGCTTTTAGTGGTGTGGGAGAAACTGCACAAGGAAATCAAACCTGCAAGCTAATTAAACTTCTCAGTCTTGTTGAGTAATAAGCTGGAGATGTTGGCAGGGCTGGGGATAGATCTGATTATCATTCCTCCTCTCCAAACAGCCAGAGGACACAGTTAATTATTAAATTGCTTGTTAATGTATTGAAATACGTTTGCTGGTTTGAATTCCCTTTTTTTTTCCCCCCTGACTCTCTTTTCTTCTCTTGCTGAAGGGCACTCCCAGGACCTGATGGATTTGTGATACCTCTCTCCTGAGGGGCTGGAAGGAGCATGGTTAAACACCAACCACTGCAGTACTACGAGCCACAACTATGTCTGTCCTGTCTGACCGGGATCTACGGCTGGGGGGGGGGACAG